CTCTAAATTTAAATTGGCGCGAAAAAATAATTTTCATTAGATCTAGCCTTTAATGGATTGAATGGATTAATGGATTAATGTACAATCGAAGATTCTTCTAAAAACAAGTGGTTGTTTATTTGTTTTCTTTTTTTCCTTTCATTCCTTAATTTCAAATATTCTATCCATTGAAGTTGGTTCTGGATTGAAAATATAAGATTATTTTAAATGATTCTGTTATTGTAAAGCTTAATCTTTTTTTTTGCATAATCATCCTTTTCTTGTACAAGTTTCACAAGCATTATTTATGTAATTGAATTTATCCTTCATTGCTGAATTATTTATCAATAGTTTCTAATAAAAGAACAATAATTTCTTTCTTGAGCTGCATAATAAGATTTTTGGAATATGAAACGCTTTCTTCTCCTATATTTATTTATGAAAATCATTTTGTGGAATAAACAATGAAGATAATAAAAAAATTATTTTTAGACAACTTTAATTTATATTATTATTTATTATGTCATGCGTTATAGAATTCTGGGTCTTTTATTTGTCATAACAATCTGTTCCCGGGTTTTACATTATCTTACCTAAACCTTTTAAGTATTTACAATACCACAATGTGGTGGGCAGTTAATCAATACCATAACTTTAAAACATTTCATATCTTTTAATTGGTCACACAAAAAAAATTTTTTTTTGGATTCCGGGAACGCACTCAATTTGGAATAGTTAAAGTACATATTAAATTTATTACCATGACTTTTACGGTTCCATTCAAATTATCGTTATCTATAGGTTTAAGTTGATGCAATTGATAAATAATAACGCTGAAAGTGCCAAAAAAAATAAAAATAGGATTGTTCCTAAAGTTTTCCCATGACTTTCATTCAATTAAAATTACCAATGACCTTCCAATTTTTCAAACTTTATTATATTTCATGCATTTTATGTTATTTGTAAAAAAGTATATATTCATGTTAAAATGTCGCAGAAAAGATTAAAAAAAAAGCAGTTGAATTTATGAATATTATGTATTAAATTCTCTCGGTTTAATATAAACTTGTAATTTTTCGCAATGGTTTGCAAGCGAATATATTTTATGAAGAGGAGCATCTGGGTTTACTAAACTAACATCAAAATTTCTAAATACTAAAACCATTAAGACTTTAAGTCCTGTCTCAGCTAAATGTCTTCCAGGACACATTCTAACACCGCCACCAAATGGAATTAAGGTATTTTTTTCGATAGAATTTTTCATAAATCTATCAGGGTCAAATTTTTCGGGTTCAGGCCAATGTTTAGGGTTCATTTGGATTGCATGCGTATGTACGAAAAAGGTTTGACCGGCTTTCCATTTCATACCAGCTACTATGTCATCTTTAGAGGCCATTC